ACACCCAGGACTTCAATTCTGAACTCTTTGTATTTCTAACTCCATAGTCAGTGCTGGTGGGCCTCCCCTGGGCTGCTTTGAGGGTGGGACCCGCTTAGCAGCTCTGTGATACTTGGGATATTTCTAGTACGCAGCTTCTATTTGAGGGAGATTAGACCCCGCTGAAAGGAGTCCCATTGGAACAACTGTTACACAATCTCTGCTAATCACAGCATTGATGGTTCAATTCCCCCCAGCAACCTTGCCAAACTGCTCACATAAAGATTACAGACCAGGCGACGTTAGCACTGGTCCTTGAACTCCATTCTTCCCCTGTGTTTGCCTTCCCTTTGGGGTTTACCTTGAGTCTGTATTTGACTCCATTTCCAGTGGGCTTTGGGAGGCAAACTGGCTAACGTTTGGGCTCCTAACTTTCAATGTCAGTGGTTTGAAACCACTAGCAGCTTTTTACAATAAAAGTCCTATTACCTGACCCCAGGACGGTGGTGGGGAATTTTGTGGATCATCAAGTCGGAACTGATTTTATAGCTGAGCCTCCAGTGGTTTTTCAGAGGCTGCAAATTGCGGGGTAGGCAATTACCCATCTTTCTCCCACGGAGCTGCTGCTGGATTCAAACCATGTGCCTTTGGGCTGGCATCACAATCACTTGCCACTAGACCAGCAGAACTCCCGTTAACAATGAGTGAGGCTAGGAAACCCTATGAGGAAGTCAGAATGGACTCCACATCATATTATAACAAAGTGAAACGGCATTGTTTAATAAGGCAGCAGTCCTGGTTCCTTTTACCATCCCATCCAAGTTGTCAAGCATCAAACACATACCTTAAAGTCCTTTTTGTTTTGTTAATTTTTTTAATTGGAGGCAGGAGTGATGAGGCTTCGCCTCACATACTTTGGACATGTTGCTAGAAGGGGCTATTCCTTGGAGAAGGACGTGATGCTGCGAAGGGTGGAGGGTCAGCGAAGGGGAGGAAGGTTCTCAACCAGGTGGATTGGACTCGTGTGTGTCAGGAAGTGTCAGGATGGTGCAGAAGGGAACAGGGTTCCGATCTTTTGTTCACAGGGTCGCTATGAGTCA